TGGAGGTCGACCGCTTGTTCCAGTGGGCGATCGCAGTTAGCTAAAACTCTGGGACCAACCTCAGCCTTTCTCGTTCGGCTGCCCCACCAGGTTAGTGCTGTATTCTTAATGGCCAAGTTTCTGCTCCGTAATAACAGAACTGGCCGAACTGCTGCGGCATACAGTCGATCCTTCACAGACAGCCGGATGTCATGACGGCACCACAGATGTCTCAAGCTGGCAAATGCCAACCGAGCTTTCTATATGCTAGCTGACACTTCATCCGTGATGCGTCCACCGAGTGAGATTCTAATGATTATAGTAATCGTAGTAATATGCACGGAATTCGGAACACCAACCACGCAAGATGAATCACAGGACCCGAATCAATAATCAGCTATCACGGACTGGATCTCAGAAGCACTGGACCACAATGGCACGGATTCGCAATGTCCCACGAGAACGAGACGCAAGGAAAAGGCCACGGGAATGATAGTAAGTAGTAGTTCGTTTATTGAAAGAAATGAAGGTGATTAAATAATATGTACAAAGGGAGATTATTGGCTATCTGTGCTTCCACCAATGGGATTGCAGTACTGCTTACATAATCTTGCTTCTGTCTGCACTGTCTTGGATTGGCTGGCACCATCCACGAATGACGTGTATTCAGAAGCCATGCACGTATCATTGACGTCAGCATTCAAACTTTATTGATCGCGAATGTCCTGAATCTGTAACGCGCCGCTCCAGGGTAGGTGCCATCGTGTAGGCCTGGATCACCACAGAGATGTAGCTGTTCAAATAAAAAATACTTATCCACTTGCTCTATTACTTCCCCAGTTAGAGTGAATCTGGGTGCTGGACCAACATTTTACACCTAAGTATAAAGATTGGATTTGTGTGTGACTCCGAACACATTTTAGGCTAAGGTTTTCAAAGCATTGATATCGTCTATCAGCAACCCTCATTGATGTCGCTATTAATAGAGGAAAACAATGTGTGCGGCCGGAGTTTCGTTTCCTTAAGTTCGAACAAAATTCTAATCGATTTAAAAAGCTCGAAATTCCATGCAATGAAAACAAATGGACGAACTCAATTCTATCCTATATTCGCATCATTTTTATCTAATTTACACCGGGTTTCTTATTAGGCCTCCAGCGTTCTTATATCCTCATTTGCTTGAATCTCAGTCCAAAATGGGACCAGTTTTATATATACATATATTTATAGAGGGTCAATCAACCTGAAGGGTAGTTCCTCATGTTTTTTACTAGTTGGGTGCAAGCTAAATCTCAGACTATTAGACATCACTAATCACGTCGCAAAACAAGAATCAGTTCACTTCCTCATGACTACCTGTGCGTAACATGCATTTCCAGCTTTCAAAAGTTAACTACTCGAAACACTTTCAGTCTGATCTTCGTTGCCTTTCAATGATGATGGAGATGAGGTTCTCCTTTTGTGTGGATAAACTTTTGAAATATAGTTAAGACGTATTCCTTTCCGTATTCACCGTGCAAAATGTAAATTGACCAATCACTCGTCTGTTCTATTATTATTNATTTGAGATCCTAGGTCCATAGACACTGCATTATCTACCAGAACAATAACTTTTGAGATTGGATATTCGGAAAGTCCCATAAGGCTAAAAAAAATGCTTGGGTTTCATTACACTATATCTTTTTCAGTTTCAGATGTCCGAATATCAATTTAAGTTGTCGCTGCTGTCACGAGTACCTCCGCTCAATGACAGACTTCTTCCAGGCATTGCATGCGCCATTCGCATTGACATCAAGCCAGAAGGGTCACCCGTAAGTAATACGCTGTACTGCTCGCGCATCCTTTGTCTCACGCTCTGTTTGATCACACTCCATGCGCCTTCAATTGGGTTCAGCGCAGGTGAATATGGTGCAAGCCGCAGGAGCCTACCGCCGGTGTATTCTGGTTCCATGAACACTTCTTCCAAACCTGTATGACATGGCGCGTTATCGCACACGACCATTGGTTATCGGTAAGATTGTCCAGAACGCCACGTAACCAAGTCTGACAGGTTTCCTTGGTAAAGGACCACGTTTAGGTGTATAATTAATCATGCCGTGTTCCGGCATGGCNCCCCCTTCTGCTTGCATGAACGCAGCGAGCTTTCTCTCCTCGTAGGCGTCGACCACGTGTTCCAGTGCAAAAGAGGTTAAAATTTGCTAAGATTCATGTTTAGCATTTGTATACTGACTTACGTTCATCGATCCATACAATGTTTTTTCCTTCACTAATGCATAACTGTATTTGTTGACAAAACGAGCTCCTCCACAATTTTTTTCCTCGGAATTCATAGTCTCCGAGAAGGAATATNAAGGAATATATTTTCTTCATTGTGACGAGTCGCCCATCCAAATAATTGCTGACTGTGGTGCAGCAGACCTCTTTTCCGTATTCCGTCTTTAGCCTCAGTCGCAATGTCTCCAAAGATGCTATTCAGTCATCACTGACCCATTCATCCAACTGATTTATTTCTTCTTCGCATAAATTCTTCTTCTTGTATCCACCTTCTCGCCCGTTTATACGATTATGTTGTTTATCGAATATCCAGCGGGAAGCTGTCCGTATATGCACACCCAGAGCAGCGGCGGTGGTTTGCCAATCGCAATTTTAATAAGCCACCAAAACAAGGCGCTTTGTCTCTTCAGCGCGAGACTTTCTCGATTGGAAAGGAAGAAAGTTAGAGGGAAAGACTATCAAGATGGTCAACAT